GTGTGTGTATATGAGTGTGTGGATTTGTGTGTGTGTGTGTGTGTGTGTGTGTGTGTGTGTGTGTGTGTGTGTGTCGCGTGGATGAATATTGTTCGTACATGCATTTATGTAATGCGCCTAGAGCTGTGTTTACACGCACGGGAGTGGGCGCTATAGAAATGATCTTCATTATTATTCTTATTGCTCAAGGACACACCCCACTGACCACCCATCTGAAATCCGTGACATCCACACTTGTTTGATATTATTTATAGTCTGGTAAAAAAATCCGTGGCGCGACCAATCCTCAAATGTCTCTTTAGCGGGTGAATCGATGTTACCTGTACTTTGCACAACTGTTAGTATGAATTAGTCTCAACCTTATTCTATTTTTCCACAACAATTGAGGTCAGAATAAAAAAACTTTTCTTCATAAATTTATATGTAATACTATAAATCTCCGTCACGTGCAAAATGGGATTGTGTACAGCACTTCCCGCTTCTCACATTTTGAATATTCATATGGCCTCCGTCACAGCTCACCAATGACACATCTTTTAAGAGGCAAAACTTGTTACAAGAAGCTTATTTTACTGTGAACACTTTTTTTGCCTAAAAGGTTCTCAAAATATGCGTTCAATAAGCATAATGTAGCAATTGGATAAAAATGACGGACTTGAGTTTAAAAGCAGCTAACAGTCGTTTACAAAAACGTTGATATGTTATGACAAATTGATATAAGTCTTTGTGCAAACGTTGGAGAATTTATGTCCGAGAGTTTAAGAAATATTTCACAATAATTTGGGCTACGAATTTTTTAACCGCACTATAGTTTAACAACTCGACCACTCGGGGATGTGAGGAGTTGAGGACAACTTGATAAGGAGAGAGGTTGGAGAGTAAGATTTTGTTTTTTTGTTTTTGTTAAGTGTTTTACGGCGCTCGCACCTGCATAAGGTTATATGAGCGCGCGGGATACACCTAATATATTCAGTTGGTAGGAAATTTTGAATTTTGCCCGGGTGGCGGCCGAAGCCTACTCTTATCGATTTTAGACCACCAAGGGATCTTTGACGTGCGCAACTTGCACACGGGCCCTCCGAGATTTTTCGCCCTTGTCCGAGAAGGCTAGGTGTAGATCTTTCCTACCAGAAGATCAGGGGTGTGGCAGAAAGACAGCAGTAAGGAGGAGCCAAGGAGTAGCAGTTGAAAGGCTACAAAAAGAGTCAGGAGCCCAGAGGAGGGGGCAAAGGAGGTGAGGGAGTGGGGGCAGAAAATGGAAATGAAAGTAGATAACAGAACATTGCTAGAGAGCAGGAAAGGAGGTGAGAGGAGACAATTTTAGAGAAGAAAATTTTTCGGTCGCTACCCGGATTCGAACCCGGGACCTTTTGAATGATAGGCCAACACCTTAACCTCTAGGCCACGAGAGCCCCCGGAGAGTAAGAGCAGACACGAAGCAAAACATAAACGGCAACACAATGTTGTTTTTATTTTTGCTCAATATCGTATTACAAACAGAAATCAAATTTGTCCTGAAGGTGAACAAGAAATTGACAAATATAATGATGATTTTTTAAACACTGAGAGAACAATGCGCTGGTTGCTGATTCCCAGAATTCTTTAATAATTATTATTGGCAGTTTCTATCTCTGGCTGATTAACTATAGAGCCACTGAGACAGCAAATCGGACATCCCCACCCATTCTTCTCTCATCCCCCTCTACCGCCCCCTCCCCAACCCACTTTTCAATCGACAGAAATACTCTCACCCTTTTTTTGTATGAAACAAGTGATATTTCTAAAAAAATAACAAAATAAAGATGGCTTTTTAACACCCCCCCCTTTTTTTCCCTCTCTGACTTCCTGTCTCTCTTTCTCTGTCTAGTCTGTCTGTCTGTCTGTCTGTCTGTCTGTCTGTCTGTCTATCTCTAACAATGTCTGTCTCTATCTCTCTCTGTCAACCTGTCCGTCTGTCTTCCTGCCTGCCTGTCTGACTGTCTGTCTATCTATCTGTCTGTCTGTTTATCTGTTAGTTTGTCTGTCAGTCTGTCTGTCTGTCTTTCTATCTGTCTGTTTGTATGTCTATCTATCTATCTATCTATCTCTCTATCTATCTTCCACTCACTGACACCACCAAAGTCTTGCTCACCTTTCACAAAAGAGTACTCATCTGAAGAGCCCTCATGACCCTTACAGTCGGCCATCCAGACCAGAAACACGTCGTTCCCCAGCCCCTCTAGGCTGACGGTGAGAGGAGAGGCCTGTGCGCCGATTGTATCCCTCAGTGGTGGCTCAATCAGTCTTTTGCCTGTCTTCCCGTCCAGCACTGTAGTCTGTGGATGTGGAGGTTGTTGTAATTGCTTTTGTTGTTGTAGTTGTAGTTGTAGTTGTTGTTGTTGTTGTTGCTGCTGTTGTTATTGTTGTTGTTGTTGTTGTTGTTGTAGTAGTAGCAG